CTCTCTCTCTCTCTCTCTCTCTCTCTCTCTCTCTCTCTCTCTCTCTCTCTCTCTCTCTTTTATTTTCCTATAAAATCAATATTGTTGCTTTTCCAAAGTAGCGCAGACCGAAAATTTGATGTACAATTCACTTGAGACGTGTATGATACACATATTTCAGGCAGATTTTTTCCAATATTGCATGATTCATCAGGGACCATCCCCCCTTCTTAATTCCCCCACCTTAACAATGTAGTTGATCAGGTATGTATGAGGTACACATTTCCGACGAGCTTTTAGCTCCCCACCTTATTACAGAATGAGCACAAATAGTCAGTTAATGGCCTAAACATTACGGTCCTAAATCTTACGTCAGGGTTCTGCGTTCGACACTGGAAATGTGCATGCTGCAAGTCCTTATCATACTACAGGGAGGGATAAATATACCACAATCTCGTGAGATGGCCCCATACAAATTGCGGTGCTATCCGTTAACGATACGGCATGACATGGCATCACAGGAAAGTTCGCATGTGACATAATTTTTACGGGGAGTGGGCGAAACAAATCAAAGTTTCGAAGATGAAGGCGATAGCAATAATCGTCGTTTTGATTTATATAAAAATTTGCAAAATTTTTGTATTTTTTGAAAATTGGAATTCCGGGGATATCTGGAGATGTCATGCTTCAAATGAATTCAATTATAGCTTAAAATGTTAGTTTCAATGCCACACGGTCGAAGTTGAACGATAATTACGATATAGCTATATCTGTTGATTTTATTTTTATGATGATTTTTGAAAATTTCGAATTTTCCATCATATATTAATAATAAACGACAACAACGGCCTAAACGTGGCTTATGTAGACGACAAACCTGTGGAATGCAGAACCGATAAAAAACCAATTTCAATAACTAGGAAACCGTTGAACGAAAATATAAACACCGAAACGTGAATAGGAAATATACCTCCTGAAGTAAATGCCACGTAGTTAGGAAGAGAATGTCAGCCCGTGAAGCAACAAAGGGGTGAGAGGAGTGATAGGACCGCAAAAAAGACAATCGGTTGTACGAAAAAAAGGGATAATAAGAATAACGATAATGATAGCATTCAGCTAAGTTGAAAATCTGACACAATTGTTTAAAAATAAATCTCATTCAATTTAATAAAGTAAAATAAACACCGAATTATATACCATAGAAGAAAATGATGTGCAAGACGACCATTTGGAGCAATTTCCCACTCGTTCTCATCCTTCATATCAACCAAATTTATAAATTGAGTGAATATTAGATGATGCGGCACTGGCAATTCAAATTAATTAATTTCACTTAAGACAGGAACCTTGCTGTGTTCAATTAATGTAAAAAGAAATTATTTTATGTAACATGCGTTTACCGTAATATTTAGGCCAAATACACGATTTAGAGAAGAAAAGATGGAATAATGTCTCACATTCGTTTCTTCTAGAGACAATGACGAAGGATGGCTTTATAAGATATCTCATGTCGGACGAGAATGCTCCAGTATTTCTCGACAGACTGGATGTCTACATGGATATGGATCAACCATTGGCCCACTACTACATAAATTCAAGTCACAATACCTATTTGAGTGGGCGGCAATTCGGTGGCAAGAGTAGCGTGGAAATGTACAGACAAGTGCTGCTGGCAGGCTGCAGGTGATGTAATCGCATGCCATTCCTAACCAGGTGACATTTGACACAGATCATCAATTCCATTTTCCGTCAGCAGATGCGTTGAGCTGGACTGCTGGGACGGAAAAGGCGAAGACGAAGAGCCCATCATTACCCATGGGAAAGCAATGTGCACTGATATCTTATTCAGGGATGTTATTTACGCTGTTCGAGACACGGCATTCGTCACGTCTGATTATCCGGTTATTCTCAGTTTTGAGAATCACTGTAGCAAGACGCAGCAGTATAAACTGGCGAAATATTGCGATGAGATACTGGGCGATCTCCTGCTGAAGGAGCCCGTGAAAGATTATCCGGTGAGCTTAATAATTATGGTGAATATGAGGTATTCCATGCTAAATGGGTCAACGGCTGACCCTCACCCCTTCGGAAATTGATCTCGATTTTTTATACGATTGGGGAGATAGACAAACTGTCTCTCAATTTTTTTCAGATTTTTTCGGCAGCCCTTTTCGGAGATACGATTTTTTCTTTGCTTTTTCGTTTTTTTTCGATAATTCGGGTTCTATTCAACCGATTTTGATTTATTACGGCTCAAAATTTTCCATTTTCTGCCATCTATAAGAAGATTTTGGGTAATTTTTTTTTCAATTCCTAGGTGCTCAGGGATAGCTAAATTCATAATATTTAATTACCGTTAAATATTGTAGTTATCAATTTAGATATTCAAATTTTCAATCATTTTATCAATTGATAATCGAGGTATGAAGATTGACGATTATTTGTGTAATTGATAATCGGCTTTTAAGAAATTTGAATTATTCATGGTAAATTTACAGTTCCATATTAACAAATTTTAATTCATCATTATTCGAAAAAATCTGATTGTTAATATTATACTATTTGAAAAATTATATCAACATATTTTAAATCTTCATTAATGTAAGGGTCAAATTCTTGTAATATCACAGAAATTTAATGTTGTTGGCGATCCCTGGAGCTCATAATACCGAATTTAAAAAAAAAAAGAAATTTGAAAAACTTGAATTTTCAAAATTATATCACCTTTTATTTTTCTCATCTTTTCTTCTGTAATTCTTATAATTAAAACAAGTATTTTGAGCCGTCATACAAGTTCGATTTCGTCCTGGATCTATTTTATTTTTATTGTGTTCTTCTCGAAATTGCAAAATTATTAAAAAAACTTATTTTTTTATACATATATATATTTTTACAAAAAATATATATATAGGTATATGCCATACAAATATGTTTTATACTGTAATTTTTTTAACAATAAAAAAAATTGATATAGTTCTTCAAAAAAAAAAAAATATATATATATACATAAGATAGTATATATGTTTATAGTACATAATACATCCCTAAAAATGAGAAAAAAATGCAAAAAGCAAAAGAGAAACGAAGAAGATGAAGAGAATTATGGCGATTCCGATTAAATTATTCAACAATTAAATTCTCATTGTGAAAAACTTCGCTAAAACCATTCGTTTTTCCTGCATTATTGAGATAAAAATTAATGAAAGTGAGAAACGATCAAGTTTTACTATTCTGGAACCCATGGAAAACACGCGCTCGAAGCGCGTACCCTGTTCTAGTCGTAGAAAAAACCGAGATCAATTTCCAAGAGGATGAGGGTCAGTCGTTGACTCACTTGACACGGAACACCTCGTATACAAAACATAAAGGTCAACTGATCAACTGTTGATCTCATAAATTACTCAGCTGGAGCCTGGCGTATCGTTGCCACCGCCAAGTCTCCTGAAACGTAAGATTCTCATTAAGAACAAAAGACTAAAGCCAGAAGTCGAGAAGCAGGAATTGGAGCTCTTCAAACAGGGGCAATTTGTCATTGAAGATGAGGTGAAAGAAGACGCTAGTGCACCACCAGGAGTGGCAGCAGTCGTCGAGCAACAGCAATCGGTAATCCAAATATACCTATTCCAGGATTATTGGAATGTCTGACGACATAACACTCGTTAATCTCACATTTCTGCGATTCTAAAATACTTTTGAACCCTAGCAATCCCTTGTTTCCAGGTAGACTCTGCAATTGTTGATGTCATCGTGCAACAACAGTCGCAGAACTCCAGCGGCGGTCCAGCCGGCCTAGGAGACAGCCTGGAACTGGCTGTTGTCCAGCAAGTACCTTACACTGGAAGTACCACCAATGTCCACCCCTGGCTGTCTTCAATGGTGAATTATGCTCAACCAATAAAGTTCCAAGGTTTCGACATCGCAGAACGTAAGTTGAATGTTGTCCTTATAGAGTGCGAAAGAGGTCCCATTATACATGAAAATATTGTTCCATTTCTTCAGAGAAGAATGTCCATTACAACATGTCTTCCTTCGCCGAGAACACCGGTCTAAATCACTTGAAGACATCAGCTATTGAATTTGTCAATTATAACAAACGCCAAATGAGTCGGATCTACCCGAAAGGCACACGAGCCGACTCTTCTAATTATATGCCACAGGTAGAGAAATTTACATGCTAGAGCGGCCTGTTGAAGATATTTTTGCTTCCGAATGGATGCTTTGTAATCAGACAGGGTCAAGCCATTAATTTGTGACTTTAGACATAGGCGACTTAGGTAATATGAATTTAAATTTCTTTGAGACATCTCGTGTAATAATTATGAGTGATCAGGTAGATGTACGGGACCTCCGGCCAGCTCCTCCCTTCAACAGCGATATAATTTTTTTGGTAACACGTCTAAATAATACACGTATATTTCAAGATATGTTAACTCAACATATGACTTTTCAACATGGACCATTTTAACACATGATTTTTCAACACAAGCAAGTTCAACTCAGTTTATTTTTCTTGGATTCTACATAAAGTTGTTGTCAACAATTGTCATGCACGTGATTTTATTTCTTTTTTCATTTTGTATTAAGATTTTTTTTAAATATTCTTCATATCAAATTTTGAATTTTGAATTTCACTAAAAAGGCCAAAATATTAAAATTAATTTTTGACTAAGTCACGTTTATTTAGCTTGACCCTGGATAGTTCAGCACGATGGAAGACTATTTGAAATATATACTTCAAGTTGACATTTTCGGTCGATCAAATAGTATTTATTTATGTTTTTTTTAAAATTCAAGTAAAATAGTTATTTGATATTTCATTTCAACGAAACAGAAAATTAAATAGTATTTACTATTTTATTTCACTATTTGGTTTTACATGAGATAGTTTTTTTTCCTACGAATATTTCCCGTACCTATCCCTTATCACCTTCATTGATCTCTCGCGGTGACGTTATCGCAATGAATTATGAAGAATTGGGTTGAATGGACGGATTATCGCAGTTAGTTACCACTAAAGAGGACTTTCTCCAGCGTTTCACATCTTGTGACATCGCAATACGCAAAATTTTGATGACATTTCCATCGATGACGGTACTATGACAAAAAAAATAGAAGAAGAGAATACTGGAATAAGAATTAAAAAAGGAGAATCCATTCGGAAGCAAATTGCTAACTTAGTAGTGACAATACCTACACTCATTTATGAAAAAATGCAATTGTCCACTTGTTCTTCTATTCTCCGGATGAATTGATGAAAGAACAACGAATTTGCTTCAGGTCTTTTGGAACGCTGGTTGCCAAATGGTTTCACTGAATTTCCAAACGGCCGACTTGCCAATGCAACTCAACCAAGGTAAATTCGAATATAACGGCTCGTCGGGTTATTTATTGAAGCCAGATTTCATGAGACGCGCTGATCGAAGTTTCGATCCATTCGCTGAGAGCCCAGTTGACGGTGTGATTGCTACTCAATGCAGTGTCCAAGTAAATAGTTTGAAATTCATTGGTTCTTGTCTATACGAGTTCATCCATACAGAGTTTGTATATAAATACATTTCAGGTCATTGCTGGACAATTTTTATCAGACAAGAAAGTTGGCACGTACGTGGAGGTTGAAATGTATGGCCTACCGACAGATACGATACGGAAGGAGTTTCGGACTAAAGTTATCCCGGCTAATGGCTTAAATCCCGTCTACAATGAGGAGCCGTTCTTATTCCGTAAAGTCGTGTTACCGGACTTGGCAGCACTGCGGTTTGCAGTTTATGATGAGAATGGACGCTTGCTAGGGCAGAGAATTGTTCCACTTGATGGCCTGCAATCTGGATATCGGCATATTGCTCTACGCACAGAAGCTAACTTTCCAATGTCCCTGCCAATGCTATTCTGCAATATTGAGATTAAAATTTACGTGCCAGATGGATTTCAAGGTTCTTATTGTCACTTATCCAATCAAAAAAAATTGGCCACTTCTTAATGTGTCATTAGCCGATCCTCAAACTCATATTTAAAGCCCTTTTCTGAGACTTTATTAATTTCGCGTGATGAATGATCAGTAATGCTTTAGAAATCAAAGCAAAATAGGGGAAATGTTCAGTCATCGGCTCATCACATTTACATTAGATCGCGGATGTGTCATATTTCTTTCAACTTACTGCTTATTACAGAGTTTATGGATGCATTAACTGCACCTCGAGCTCCGAGAAAAACAGAAATAACATCCCAAGCAAGATTACGAGGCTTAGGAATGGATGAGGGTGACAGATTTCCAGGCGATTCTTCACAATCGCGACAACTGGAAACTGCTAAACCACGAGGTAATGATTCGACACTTCCTAATAAAAGGAGGGTATCTCAGGATTCCCTATAACACTCGATTATCTGAATTTTCCGGGGAAAACTCATGTAACTCAGACGGAATAAAAAAAGACTTATCCCAGTAACTCTGATAAATACTGTGCAAGTGGTACTCATTTTAATATCCATAATTCCCAGAGAATTCAGCCATTCTTTATTTTATTTCCATGCCTCCTTCACGGTACTCACACGCAACTCAAATCCATTTAGATGTCGAAAGCATGAAAACGTAAGTGTTTGAGAATTAATTCCATCTGGCACGTGCCGACCAAGATGTCAAAACAGATAGCTTCGATACCTTCGAATTATCCTGATCTTATGCGGCGTAGTTATGCCATTCTCACCCTCTCAATTTCTTTTCCCTGTATCCATATTTCTACTCCGAGTCATAGAATTCCATATATGTCCGTTCCAAAACTACACTACACTCGTTTCAGGAGATGATTTCAATTTTCCTATTGATGAATTCTGGATTGATGATCTACTCACTCTGTTCTCCCGTTGAATCCTTGATGCGATCACTCTACTCGTCCCTCCCATTCATTTTATTAATTCTCTGGCATGAATCTCTTAACATATTATACATCCACAATATGTCGACTAAATCGGTTAAACACTATTTTATTTAGTCAGCGTTCATAAAATAAATGTTTCATCTCGCTGTGCGAAAAAGCAACTTTTTAGGCACTCGAACCGTCCCTTTTCCACACATTGAGTTGAAAAATATCATTCGATACTCACGGGAACTGTTTTTCGGCTCGTGGGAGGAGTGATATACTCTCACGAGCCAAAAATCGCTTTTCCGCACTCGCATCGAAATATACTATTTTCCGATTTCGTTTAAGTCGGACGAGTTTTCTCCGGAAAATTCAGATAGATTAGTTTTATAGAGAATTCTGAGATACCCTTGTTGTATTAGAAAGCATCGAATTGATCAACAGTATTTTAAATTCCCATCGTTCACTAAATACTAACATTTTGCCATTCTGTTAGAAATAATGGAATTTGAACCGATCACGGTGGAGTCACTGCGCCAAGAAAAAGGATATCAGAAACTCGTTCGTAAACAACAAAAAGACTTGGAATCTCTGAAGAAGCGGCAGCAGAAGGAGCGAAATGCCGTGCAAAAACAGCAATGTGCAGCTATTGAGAAATTGATAAAAGGAAAAAAGTGAGTAGATGAATCGCCAATATAGACCTTGTACTGGAAGCGTGGTTTAATTTTGATCATTGGTTTCGGGGAGAACATAAATGTGTTTCCATTTACTTATTCTGTTGATCAAATCATCGGTCGATTAATCCTCACAATCGAAGCATTTCTCACATCATTCTGATAGCATTTGCTCGTTCCATCCTACCAATCTCATCGCACTAATGAGTTTAATTATCCGAAATTCATGTGTATTCTGAAAAAAAATTTAGAAGCAACTGATGTACGAGAGAAATTGATTATCAAAATTAAATCACGTGGAATTTTTAAACTCAGCAAAGCCGACTTATCGAGGGATCCAATCGTTCGCAGAGCTGTCTCAGAGCAGACAGCCCAGTGGTCACATCTTGCTGAACGCCAGAGGCGTGAGGAACGTGACTTAATACGCACTCATTTGGAGGAGCGCCGTATACAGCTGCGAAAGTTATGCATTGCAGCGCAATCGAGTCAAACGAAACAACTTATTGCTAGACACGAAAGAGAAATTAAAGAGATGAATGCTAAACAAGCTAGATCGTCAGTAGAGAGTACTAGGGAGGTGATGAATGATAAATCATTGAAGACAAGGCAGATTAAGGAGGGAAGACTGCGCGAGAAGCAGCAGAATAACACAAAGAAATTTATGGAAGAACGCAAAATGGCACAAATTATACAAAATCGGGAGAAGGAAAAATTGAAGATGATACATAATGAACAACTGGAGGAGTTGCAGAAGGAAATGAATGGGGTAAGGTTTCCATTTATGGAGATGACAGAAGGAAGACATTATCTCATTGAATCATTGAATGTTTCCAGGTGTTGGAGATGCACAAAAATGAGGAAATTGAGTATGAGCTGGGTCCAAAGAATGAGTTCTATGTGTGATTACTTGCGCCGATGCTTAGTCCATTCGCCGCATAGTCTATAGCTTAAAATATAAAAGTAATTTAAAAGAGAATCTTCAAATAATTAACTATTATCGTTGAATTATTGGAATTGGGAACAAGTAAGATCTTTGCGTTAGTACGGTCATCCTTAAGCTTGTGCTCGGTGGCCATATCACTCGGCGTCTTGAAGATTTAGAAAATGATATTGAAATAGAACCAAGAAATTTAACATTATAGAAATGAAACTTTAAAATGAAATGATACACGAAAGCACATATTATTACTATGAATATCTGTAAGTATTTCCTCAATATTTTTTTATAAAGGTCTCATTCCACGTGACAAACGTGAGTAGGTGTACGAGATCGAGCAGTCAATAATTGAAGAAAAAAGTGATCTAGTCGAAATCTTTTTAGTATAATTTTCGAGATATTGAAAAATGATGAAAACTTGTAGACGAGTCGTCTGTATTGCGCCATCACCATCTCTTGGATTTTTAGATGCAAAAATATTGTTATTATATAATATTGAATTCTATTCATTAAAATAAATTGAAGTGAATGAAAAACAAGTGGACATTTGCTTTTTTTAATGAATGAGTTTGGTTAATGGTGCTAATAAATTAGCAATTTGCTTCCGAATGGATCACTCCGACGTGTCACTCCTCTTCACATTACTTTTTGTTATTTATTTGGTCCCAAAATCTTTCAATAAACATTAATTCTTAATTAAATGGCTTGTATTAAACAATATATATCTGCGAGTCCTCAACTTTACGGTTAATAAATTACGGATACCCCCACTACGGCACCTTGGGGCGTGTTTGCGGCTGCCTTGCCCCTTCATGCGGATGACATCGGACGCGAGTGACAGCGGACACATTCTTCGATACCGCTGTGCAAACGAACCCCTTGGAAAAATTCCAAATTCAAGCGTTGGATGCCTGAATATCCACCTTAGTGATGCCGAAGTAGAGTCGGTTGTTCCGGTGCTGTCTCCATCGATTTTAATTACTTTTGTTCACTAAAGGAAGACACAATAGTTGATATATGTAATGACTTTCTCCTTAGGAACTCCGAGTAAACAATTATGGATCGAGTCCAATTATGGATCTCAAAGCCCACAATTACATCTAAAATACGTATTTTCTCACTCAACGACGATAGTTCTAATTAATTTCCTCACTTCCTGAATTGACACAGACCTCAAATTTTGATGAAGTATATAAATCCGGAGTTCGGACGGCCTACGGCTATCAGTACTGCTACGAACTCAGCATCATGAAGATCGTTTCAATGGTGATTTTTATATTTTACCGGGAATTCCGAGTAGACCCAGGGAAATCATTCATTTGAATCAAATAAATAGGTTTATTTAAATAACACGACATAAAGTTTTTATTTAAATTGAACATTTTTCTTCATTTGAGGGCGCGTTTCTATTAGATAAATGATTTTTTTATTTTTCATAAATCGTTATTTGATCAAAAATAAATTCTTCGTTAACAATAAATAACAAATTAATTAATTTTCGTATATTAAGACAATTTTTCTATTTGAAATAAACACATTTTTTCTTTGATCTTGATAAAAATTTATTTGATGCTAATAATTTATTATCGCTTCAGAATTAAAATTGAGTAAAAAACAATTGAAAGAGAAAAATGCAATAATTATTATTCCTTTATATTCTACATTATATATTCCTTCACAAAATACATGAAATTGTGATTTTCTTAAAATAAGAAAATTCTTAATTTGAAATGAATTAATTGTTTCCGTGAATTTCATAAAAATTGAATTTGAAATTCATAAACTGTTAATTTGATATAATAAAATCCTCTCTTTTGGACCAAATAAACAAGTTTATTCATTTCCACGTCGACATTCGTGAAACAAGAAAAAAATTTCAAATAAAGATTTTTATTTTTATTTTTATGTTTCTTGATTCAAATAAATAATTTTTCTGGGTGTAGATATGGTAGATTAGCAATAACAGCTGTGTTATTTTCAGAGTATTGTGCTTCTCATGTCAGCATACTTGACAGAAGCTGCGAAAGAAATTCAAACGGATCGAAAGCTGAAACGTGGTGTTGATTTTTTCGGACCGCCGGGGTTTGACCAATTTGGTCTTCTCCCGGCGTATGACTCTCCGTGGGTACCAGGGAGTCCTTTAGGCCCATGGGTAGGGCCAATACCATCCGATCTTGAACTGCGTCGGGTTCAAACACAAGCCACTCACGACGTAACACTCCAGGTATTTTTCGAAAAACAGGTCAAGTCGATTTTGGCTATTGGTCAGTTTTCAATGAATATCTCGGGATCTAAGGGAAGTAGGAAAATTTTTGTTAAAACCTTTTTTGTACATCTTAATCCGCTCTACAAAAAAGGTTCTTACGAAAATTACTCTATCTCTCTTAGATTCAAAGATATACCCCCAAAACTCGACTTAAATCGTTTTACCACTTCGCAACTGAATTTCTCTGAGTAAAGTACCAAAAAATGATTTAATCCTCGAATTCAGCTTCTCAGAGATTCAATCCCAGGCACTCCCAGCATAGCGTACACGCCCGATATAATACGAGCTATCCAGCAGGCTAAAGCCGCGAATGAGAATGTTCTACTGGCCCAACAGCGAGTTGCCGAAGTCAAACAAGCTACTATCATACAACAGAAGATTGCACTGGCCAAAGAAGCGGCTGCCCGCGTAGCGGCGGAAAGGTGACATTTTATCTATTTAACTCACGTCGATATGATACTGTCGTGTAAGACTCAAGTGAATTATCCACTTCCCCTCTAGGTTCTGATGTGATACCCCATTTTTTCCCATTTTTAATCGACGAAATCGTAAATGCAATTTTCCTCTCGTCCTCTTTTCTCACGAATACACAGAGGTTTCACGAGTTCTTTAAACTATCTCGTAGATTCACAAAGAGAAAATTCGAAGTGCTGTGATGGCCACAATTTAATAAGTGAAGCGAAATGTCCAAAGAGCATCGCATAAAGATTTAATTGTTCACCCAATCGTTGCCTTCTTTTTGTTATTCTTGTTTTTAAAATTCGCGGCAACAGAGAGGGGGTCGTAGAATTTGTGGGATCTAAAATGTAAAAAAAGTAAAGTAATATTTGAATGGCCCCATTCATCTGGGTGATCGATAGGTCCGAGGCCATTTCTGCTCACACACAAGCGGAAGCTCGAGCGAGCGCCCAGCAGCTTGTAGTTCTCCAACAAAAATTAGCAACGTCGAAGGATGCTGTGGCTGCAGCACAGCGTCTCGCAGCTGCCCGAGAGGCTGCTGCAGCAGCGGCTATACAGCGAAATGCGTCGGAAACTGCTGCCCAACTTCGGAAACAAGACGTGGACAAACAAATAAGTCAAACTGAACGGGAAGCAAAGGTTTGTACCAAAAATACTGGCATTATTAATGAAATAGTACTGAATTGTGAGCCCTGAATTTGAATGTTTCTTTGATTAGATCCGCGATCTCGCGGCTGCGAAGCAACATGCAATTGCCAAAGCAGTGCACCATGCTGCAATCACAAAGCCAGTGCCCCACCAGTATTCAGTCCATCATCCCTGGGCTTAACACAGTTAATCCACCCGCTAGAATAAGCGTCTACTAAATCTGAAAATCAGGAAATAATTATCATTACTGGTGAAGGTTTCTGATTACTATTTACGAGAATATCTCGTCATTTTTTCCACTTGTTGCAATAAATAATGGTGATGAAGCAGAAAGGGAAGATAAAGTAACTCCACATTTCCACAAATTAGACTATCGTAACTAGATTTGTCATCCCCTTCATCCCCACCGAGTTGCCTCGTGTAAGCTCGTGAGACTAGCGCGCAACGTACTGCGCATAACACACTGGTGATCATGCCCTGTCCTGATTTAATACTGTATCGACAAAAGGACCTCTGAATAAAGAATTGTATGGAATAATATCAAGAGTTGTTTGAATGTCATTAGAAAGGAACGAGACGAGATGAAGGAATACAGAAGTGTTATTATTTTTCGAAAAGAGGCTTTATAGAAGATACTTCTCTATAAGATACCTCGAGCTCCGAGCGCTCGAGGCCTACCCCCACTCTCGGCACTTTATAAGATACTTCTTATAAGATACCTATGGCCTCGATAATTTTTCAACGGAAAAAGAGTGATTATAAGGATCAAACGGAGTTGAGGGTCAAACGGGAGGGACGAACGAAGTGATCATAAGGGTCAAATGACCTTAAGGGTCAAGAGTTCAAACGTAAGAGTCAAGTGAAGTAATCAGAAGGGTTAAACGATCCCAAGGGTCACCTCTTTTCTTCGACGCTATAATTATTAAAATGATGACGCAGAATTATCTTAATGAAATAAAGCCTAATTAAAATTCAATTAATTTACGTACTTTCAATAATTTGTACTTCAGCTGTCCAGAAGTGATTATTCTCAAGTCCCCCAACAATCCCCCAACATCAGCTGCCATTCTATCACGCGGGCTTATGTTTAGAGAGAAAAGGGAACGCAGGCTATACGAATTCAAAACATTAAACTCGTATAAATTGATTAGTTATCAATATCCATTCAGTAAAAATGAATATTCCATAGAATTCGGGCGCAACGACCGAGGTATTTTATGTCAAACCGCTGATCCCTATTTTTCTCCTCTCTATAAGCGCGCGTAGTGGGGGTAAACGGATTCTCGGAATTCCACTCTCCTACTGTCTCTAAGGTATCTTATATAAAGGCTTAACTGTACGTAAACTCGTAAAATATGAATACAATATATTTTAACACATTGCGAAATTCTTGGCGGTAAGAATGAAAATGTGGTCTAGATCTTAGGAAGAATCTATATACTTTGTAAAGGGCCACTAATGTTGAAATAAGGGAGACGATCGGTCTTGACAAGTTTAAAAAATCCGGGTTCTACTTTACATCGTTTAGAGGCGAAAATCCTTCATATCACCGAATATAAATAGGTTTATACCGACGCAATCAATGCAAATGTACATATTCATGAGATAGAGATCATTCAAAATAATGAGGGCTTGGTTATTACAAGCTATCAGAATGCTTTACGTCCTGGTACATATGATAAGTCGCACGAAATAGCTTAACGAAATCTCATAACTTATGTTGGATCCGAGTGTAATTTATGAGACGTGTTTCCGCATAACTTGCGGGAGAATCATAACTTATCGCAGCTTCTAATAGTTCCTCGGGATATCAGGCTCAATTAATTCCCGAAATCTCAAGTCAATATTGCGAAGTCAAATAATTTCAACCATCTTTTTTTATTAAACTATTAAATTACATAAAAAAACAAACATTTCAGAGTGAAAACATAACAAGTAAGGCAAGGCCTTCGAAATCACAATCTGCGCATTGTCACAATTGTTGTTTACGGGTAGAATTTAATGCCAGCCTTTGCCACCAGAAGTGTGATGGAATACATGTTTGTAAATCGGCACATGGACTGGATATGGCTTCGCTACAGGTACAGGAAATTTCTTATCCACATAAACGGGATATGGTTTCTCCACAATGAAGGGTACCTGAAAAAAATCGATGGAAAAATGACTCGATGAGGAGAATGTCGACTATTAATGCTGCAAAATTATGAAACCTACCTTCTTCTCGACGACATAGGGCTCGTGTTTCTCTATCGGTATCTCAACATTTTTGACTACTTCGACTGGATAGGGGTGAGGTATTCGGACTTGAACCTGATATGGCTTAGGAATCGGCACTTTAATCTCCTGATCTACCTTCACAGGCACCGGATGAGGTATTGGTATCGCTGAAATTCCATTATCCCAGTGGATTACAAGTCCCAACACGTCACAATGCCCAAGTAAACTTACCGTATTTCTTATAAATAGGAATTTCAACGGGTTTCGTTTTTTCTTCGTACGTAGAGTGCTCGTGCTCATGGTAATCGCTGGCTGTGGCTGAAGCAATGAGAGCCATCAAGCCCAAACTAAAAATCTAGAAGTAAATTAAAGAATAATAACATAAATTTCCGGGTGAATAAACGATTTAATCTTCTTACCAGTGAGCGCATGGTGAGATGGACTTGAGTGGATTCAGAATTCAATGATAAATGTCTCCCGGAGTATAAAACACGTGCTTATATAGTTACAACGAATCTTTCACCTTTCACTGATGAGCGAAAAATTCACTTTCACCCCTTCCCGAAGGGTATACAATTCACCACCCACATGCGGATGGATTATAATTCTGGAGGTGGGAGCAGAAGGGCTTCAGACAAGAGCATCGTAATCATCCGAGATCTTCGCATTCATTACGTCAATTTTCCGAATTTGGATCGTTATTCGGTGGAAGCATTGAGAAGTGTAAAGTCCACGTGAATCACTTTTACCCGTCATATAGGAAAGTTATTTGTGGTGAGCTCTTATTTCACTGAATTAAGGTCCGGCATGTAAAGGATATCCCCTTCGATATCTTCTTTCCGAGATCAGAATGAGGATGAAAAGCAGCAGTGAAGGTGCTTCGGAAATTCTAATTCTTTCAATGCTCCCGGAAATATTATGATTCCAGAGATTCCTCTCACATGATACATATCGGATATCAGGCGCATTTCAACTACTCCCGGCGACTGAAAATAGTGAATGTTCGACGATTTATCAACAATCGCTTGGATTATTCTTATTCTTCTCTTCGGTTCTTATAGTGATTGGAGAATGGGTGAAATAATCATAGCCCCGGAAACTTTCACCCGCAAATCCTTTTTCTTTATTAATGGGTTCCGCCTTTTTCCTCGCGACTTGTTAATAACGATGTCTTATTCGGAGCATCGCACTCCATACTTTGGAGTCTGGCAATTTCATTGCGTTTTCGTAGAGCAATTGGAGTCAGGTATCTGGTCGAGAGTTTGGAGGACTCGCGTCGGTGATGCTTAATGCGTCGAGTGATTATGCGCGGATGGGATTAATTGATGCAGATGTACAAATTTGAAGTTGGGCGAGGGGAAGAAGAGTTTTGATTTTCAGGAATTTATCCGCGATTAGTTTATATACTGTCCCACATCTTGTGACGTCACAGGATATTTTTGAAGAAATTGTCCTTTGCAGGATTATCCTTTGAAGAAATATTTCTGAAGAAATTGGATAGTCCCGACCGGGATAGAATATGTGATAGCTAAGCTATGCAACAAAAAATATAATTGTATATTAAAAATGCAAATATAAATTGAAGGGAGATAATTCGCGATTGTGAAATTCAGTGAGTGCGACATTCTGAAATTCAGTGAGTTTGTCGCTAATTTTCAGTGACATCATCAGTCATTTTCAGTGACTCATCTTGAATTTTTAGAAATCTATCACCCGATTCCTAAAAATCATTAACATGCACGGAGAGAAATATTCAATAAAAATTACGTATCTTTTCCGTAATTCCGGAGCGAAAGGTGGTTGTAGGAAATTTTACGGAACTGTCACGGGATTTTTCCGGAGCGTTCCGTAATTCTTATCCGAATCTCCTGTGAAAAATTACGATACCGTCACTTAAATTGTCTGAGTCGATTTCATAATCGGTTAGTGAATTGTGAGTTCCGTAATTTTTACTGAACATTTCTCTCCGTGTGCCTCTCAAAATCAAAACTTTCGTCTCTGCAACGACAGCCGATCAATCTCAGCGATAATCAGCAATTCTGAAAATTAAATTGACTAAAAACGACATATTCTTCATTTTTCAAAACATCGTCATAAATCAATGCAATTTCCTTACAAATCCCGAACACCGTCATGGAGCAATGCATGTAAAATATTGTTCTGCAAATTTTCGACAGTGAATTATTCCTATCCTCGAAGAAAGTAGAGTGTAAAATGCCATTCACAACGAGACAAACTATACTTGGGCTGTGTTAGACGAATGTCAGTGATCTCGTCTGAAAATCGAGCCGAGGGGGTTAGACTGGCCGACTCGAAGGCGAGGCTTTACCCATTAGTCAATATGATGTGAATGTACCCTTCTCCCTGGAGAGCGAGCGCAGTATTTCGATCGGCTGGGCAGAGAGGGAAAGCCAGCAGCTCTCGATGCAGGTGTGGCCAAAAGCTTTTTCATCAGGAAAAAAAAGGTTTCCAACTTTTCATATCTCAATCCGCATGTTTATTCCAAAAAGTCGAGTATACAAAGTAATCAACAAAAAATAATACTCCAAAGTAACAAACAACAAAAACTTTAATATCACTTATTCGATGGAATCAGACTACGTTTGTAACAAGTTATCATCATTTCCGTACCCATTCGATGGTAGTTGGGGAGTGGATTCAAATGTTACAATCTAATGTTCCTAATGGCCGTGGGATTTAGTGTGATGATGGATTGTTTTGTAAACTGGAATTCTAATGGGATATGGTTTTTCAACCGGAACCGGAATGTGTCGTTCAATTGTGATTGGCACTGGTTTTTCAATGGGAAAGGGAATGTGTTTCTCCACAGGATAGGGGACCTTCTTCTCGACGGGCACCGCTACAGTCTTGATTATTTCGATCGGGACGGGCTGCGACACTGGCATGATCACTGGATACGGCTGGGCTACTTCCACGGCCACCGGATGAGGTATGTGAATTTTCACCGGGTGAGGCACTGGAATTCCTGAAAAGATATTAAAAATGTCAATATTTGTGAGTTTTAATTTCTTCTTCGAACATTAATAATTTATTTAAACGACCGGTAGTAATGACCGGAACTAGTCATTTTAGAGGAAGAAACCACTGTCGGAACAATAAATTTATGATGCAAAACGGAAATTTTGGTAAATGCGCACTCCGGATTATGAAACGGACAAGAAAAATTCGTAGGAAAATTGGATGAATTCGATAGAAAATTCTGTGGGATTTCTATCGAACTGCTATTCCGAATTCGACTAGTTTTAAAAATAGAAACTATTTTATAGAAAGAATCAGATTGTTTCTACACAACAGAAATCCTCAACATGAAGTTTTTTTTCACTTGATTTTTCTTTTCATTTAAAAAATCAGGCAGAAAAGCTCAGGAGCTCAGAAAAATCGAATTCCACTGATTTTGTCTATAGAATATTTTTCATTACACATTTCTATTGAAAAAACCGCAAATAAGCTGCGGAATTCTTCAAAAACAATTAGAAAGTTGAATAGAAATCCTAACGCATTCGCAAAGTTTTTCTATGAAATTTTTCTCGTATGTGAAACCTTACCCATTTTTTTCTACACAACTGAAATTCTCAACACGAAGTTTTTTCCACTTGATTTTTCGTCTTTCCATTGAGACAATCAAGCAGAAAAGCTCAGAAAACATCACAATAGAATAAGCTGTACACAAAAATCGAATTCCATTGACTTTTTCTGTAGAATATTTTTCATCACACATTTCTATTGAAAAAACCGCTGATGAGCTGCAGAATTCTTCAATAAAATCAGCCAAAAACTGAGAAATTTGAATCGAAATCCTAAAAAAATTCGCGGTTTTTCTACGAATTTTTTTTCGTGCATAGCACCTTACCTATTTCCTTATAGACAGGTACCGTGATTGGTTTCGTCACTTCAACATGTTCAGATATCGGTACAGAATGAATATGATTATCAACGTGAAAATCATGACCACTGAGATCATCGTGGCCCCCTGAAGAGAAGTGATTAGAATCCTGTGTGTCATGAGTAAACTGTCCATATTGGGAATAATCCTGTTGACTGTCAGCCAAATGCCCGGTGGATGGTTCAAATCCACCGTGACCTGATGTGCCATAATCACCACCACCGTAGTCTCCGCCTAGAGAGCTCCGGGCGATTCTGTTCCACTGGCCAGGGTACAACGATGAAACTTGTTGACCATTCGTGTTACCAGTGAGAAACATTGTTACCGGTGTCGCCTCAGTCCACGATAACAAATAAATAAGGGGCACCTGGGAACCAAGTCAGACCGTTATGCAGTGAGAAAAAAAATCAAGAGAGTTTTTAGTTGCTCTAAAAATTTCTCGGAGCAAGTCAAGTGGTTTTTGCATTAAAATATTCGAAATTTAAAACTAAAAACTGTTGAACTAATTAATTTAACTAGACTTGGTTTGAGAAATCACCTTCTTGTTATAAACAAATTATGCTTGTTGTTGTGTATCAACAGGGCGATAGACTTTTATTTTATTTTATTTCATTTATTAAATAGAATTATGTGAGATTCATTTCAATTTTTAATTTTTTAATAGCGATTTGTGATATTTATTAAATTTGATTTTGTTTCTTGAGTTTGTTATAAGTATCGAGAACTCATTGTTTGTTGTTAAATACAATTTTTATGATTTGTCCATGCGAATGGTCAGTCAATTTTCAGTTGAAATACTTGTGCGGGAGATAATTTTAAATGATCAGAAATTGTGTATTAAGTTGGAAATAATTGATTTAAAATGGATTGAAAATGCCGTTGCGACGGAACACTCGTCTTAGAAATAAGTACAAAATCGCTCGACGAAAGGCTTTTTTCTCACAGTAAGAAATTAATTACTAAAAAAAATTTAATTTAATTAATTTCATTTCATTTATTAAATTGAATTATGCGAGATTCGCTGCAATTTTTAAATATTCAATAGAGATATGTGATATTCACAATTGATTTCTTTTCTTGAGTTTGTTATAAGTATCCAAAACTTTTTGTTGTTAAATACAATTTTTGTGATTTGTTCGTGCGAAAGGTCAGTAAATTTTTAGTTGAAGTACTTCGTTGATTTAAAATGGATTGAAAATGCCGTTACGACGGAGCACTCGTCTTTGGGATAAGTACAAAACCTCTCGACGAAAGTTTTTTTTTCTCACTGTAAGAAATTTTTCTTGATACAAGTGAAGACGTACTTCTCAAAAAACTTTTCTTTTCTCAGTCTGATGTTTCTATATTCTACAATGAATGCTCTACTCACTAATCCACTGATGATATTCATTATGAGTTCGTTAGAATAAGAGGAAAGGTTGCGCTGAGCGTAGGAAGTCCCTGCTATGACTGATGTATCCATTGCCATTTCTCGGGCTGATATACTATCTCGCCTTTCACTGCCAACAGAGTTTGTTTCGTTGTGTTGTTATCCGGATTGATTTGATATGTTAAGTTGTAATATTTTTCAGTCCATATTTAAGTAACTGCGGGCATTATTACGGCGGTCATATGGAGGTATTGGGCGTGGGACATTTTTATTCTTGTGGAAATGGTGAATGTCTGAAAATCTATCCTCTCTCTTTCTTTCTGAGGACCCTCTCGAGTAGTTCCTCATGATGGTCGCCGAACAGCATTGTTTGCAGTGTGCATGCATTTTCCTCAATCAGTTGAGAATGTAATTTCCTCCTTGCGTTAATGAAAGCCTTAGTTACTGAGAATAATAACTACAGTAATGGGTAATGTTACGATTTTGGAATATGATTCTTCTTTTCGTTCATTGTACCCCTAATTATCTATCATTTTGTTCGACAAAAATCGGACGTATTCGATCTTGAAAACGAAATTGCTCCCATGTTATAGATATTTTAATGCTGATTTTAAATTACTTTTGGAAAATCATTCCTTTTCGAGAAAAAAATATTAAATTGTTGAAGAATGGCTAAAATGATCAATTAAAAAAAAATTAATTTGGACGTCATTTTTCCCAGAAAAAACACGGATTAATGCAAATACGATTTGATCGATGGATTTTCTTTCATCGCAATTGGTTGAGTTAAAACGAGTTGAAAAAATCCCAAGAATGTCCAAATTTCATGATTTTTCTGGTAAAATTGTGTGTGTTAACCTCGGATTGACGGAAGATAAAGTCTGTAATTGCCTTTTCTGTAAGGCAAACGGTCAATTCCTTCCATAAGATCTTACCCTCAATTGTGGAGAAGTCGAGTTGCTGAAATAAAGTTAGAAATAGAGAGATTCGAGAGGGAATTGAGGCTCAATTGAATCCTCCCACGTCAGATATTCGTTTTTTCACTAAAACAATATATAATATTCCAGTCTGCTTCTAAAATTTATTAATCTTCATTAATTAAATGGGCTGGCTTCTAATTCTAAATTCACATCTGTCGTTTCGCCGTTTTGTAGAATCTTTCAAGCCTTTCTAGAAATTGTATAGAGACATGAGGGTTTTTCTAGGAGCATACGACACGGGTGAGTTTTTTCATTCCGAATCAACTGTAGGAATGATCCGTGCGACATTGCCATGTCTCTGATGCATTTTCTATTGTTTCAATAATTACAAAAACATTTAATAAAAATAATTTGACACTCCTAAGTGGTGGGAAAAAATCAATCTGACAAAAAAATATATTCAAGACATGTTCGAAAATCGCTGGAGAATTGAAAATTGTAGTACTCAGGGATTCAATCAGGGCTCCAGAATAATGAAACTCTCTTTACCCGAGAGAAGTATAGAGGAAACACCTTGAATGAAATTGCCCGGGACGCGACGTTGTCGGAAACTCGTTAAACGCGCCCGAGCAATGTAGAGTGAATTGGGCAACGCTGAGGCTTAAATAACTTGCGGGGAATCCCCGTCGCGTATGGTAGCCAGACTAGGGTTAAGGTATTTCGTGCGAAAAAGGTAAATAATGACCAATGAAATTATTATTCATCTCCATGGTTAATATTAACGAAGTAGGGTCATGGAAAATGTGGAGAAAACAATCAACTGCACTAGATTATTGTTAATTCGCGACGTTTCGCTGATAATTTAAGCTTCCTCAGGTTTCCTGATAATTGAGTACATAGTCACATCATTCTCTGAAATATTCCATGTTGGAAACTCCAAACACATTATTAAGTTTATAAAACATTGAACAATCTGGCACGCAACGGTATCAACAGACTGGCACATGTCATTTCCTGACGAAACGCCTTAAGGGTCGACATACACATTTTTTTGCTTATAGCAATACAGTGGAACTTCTTGGAATTTGGACTTACGGAAGGCCCCTTCTTCGCCAGCGAAAGAGGGAGAGCCACTGAGTCAGAAAGAGGTGCGCGTGGAGGCAATGGTGGGGGAAAGCGCCACGAGCAGGCCTGCGCGCAACGTCCTCGCGCATTGGAGCGACGGAGCCCCGAAGGCTAGAGTGAGAATGGGCATGAAGGGGAATTGTAGCGGTGGGGGAACGATTCCCCTCGTGCGGTGGAGTTAGGTAGTTATGGAATTTCAACTGTATAAGGTAAGAACAAAGTCAATAACAATTTTTTCCCCTCACTTTAATATGATACAATGTTCGGATGTTATTCCATATACATAAATAAATTAATAGCGATTCAGTCAGACAAGTCTCTGCAGGATCACTTCTTTCTTTCTTCCTTCTCTACCATATCATAGAGAACCAATCTTCGGATAATTGAAGCTGATCTCAGTATCCACTAAGGGGGATGAGTTAATGTGAGCTATTCTTCTTATTTGAAGATTGTCCAGGATTTTTTCGATTCTGAGAATCTCTGGATTTCTGTGGGGTTTCATCAGGATCAGACTCGGGGGAAGTGAACCTTGTCGGTCGCCGGCGAGGTATTTTGCGCCCGAAGGAACTTGGTCTTGGAGGTAATCCAGTTTTTTTACCACCTTTTGAGGATTCAGTGTCGTCATCGTTTCTCACAAATGATGGAAATTCGTGACACTGGTCCATTAATGGCCCTTCTTTGTCGCGTGGCGGCGGCTGATTGCGAGGAGCCTTCCTGGTTTTTGAAGACGATGCTCTCTTGTGGGTTTTTGTTGACTCGTCTTCATCAAGAATCTCCTCCGAGTGTTCGAAATCTGAGGAGAACAAAAATATCTTTTTACCTAATTTTCTCTGACATTTCACTTTGAACACTAGTGTCTCTAAGACGTCTTAATTTAGTATATGAGACATAAAAGATTAAAAGATATTCATAATCTCTTGAAATACAAGTCACCAAATTTAAGGCAATTTTTTTTGTCTCAGTTCAAGACACTTGGAGACTATTTCGTCAACCCCATTGAGACATGGAATTAGAAGACGTTTTGACTTATCCATTTTCTTCCAATTTATTCAGCAGCGAAGGGGCAAAACAGTTTAAGTCGATTTCCACGATTGGTCAGTTTTCAGTAAATATCTCGGAAGGTAAGGGAGGTAGTAAATACATTTTTGTCAATACCTTTTTTCTAGCCCTCAGTTCGCGCTATAAAAAAGGTCATTAAGGAAATTTCGTTATCTCCATTAGATTCGGAGATATTTCTCAAAAATTCAGCTGAGGCTTAAATCAACTCGAACCGTTTTCGCTGCTGTATTGCAGTTCTGAATTTATTGAGAGAGTCGAAAGGGTGATAGGGGTGAAAGATGTCAAATGAAACGCTATCTTTAACGCAACCAAAATCATCAGTGAAAGAAGGATTGACTCTTTGAAAAAACGAATCAAGTATTTCTCAAAACAAATAAGACGTAATTTTAAAATCAAAGATCCTGATTAAGACACCTAGAATGTCTACGATGCATCTCTGCCTTAATTTGAGATACTAAGAAAAACTTGAATTAGAGGAGACAAACGTCTTGAAAACTAAAGCGACTAAAGTGTCTTACTTTCAGTTTTTCTAATGCAGGCGTCATTTCCCTGTCAAGTGCATACCTTCAGTGGGAAGTTCTTGTTTGTACGATTCCTCGAATTCTCGCTCGTAGTCAAAGCCGCCGTTTTTGTCGTACTTATCCTCAGTATTATTTTGCTCTCTTTTCCTCGCATTTTTTCCGCGCCGTTCATTGCGCTGACTTTCACCTTCTCCCTCATCGTTATACTGTTCACGAGAAGTCGAGGTCGCTTCTTCGGATTGATACTCTGATTTTTCATCTTTTTCTCCTTTTCCTTCGTCGTTTCCATGGCTAGCGGGAGAATGTTGATACTGCTCGTCCGCTGATTCTTTTCCCCCTCCTGACGGGATCTCGGTTCCGTACTTACCGAAAGTTTTGTCATAATCATTGAATATGCTTGAAGTGGGCACTTCAAAGGAATATTCAATGTTTCTAAATGGGGGCATAGGATGGGTATTGACAAAGTTACCAGCGATGTACGGATTTGTTCTTCCGCCTGAAATATGAAGACTGAATGATAAATTTAGGTTGAGGGCCACAATTGTATATGATAATTATTTGGTGAGTTTCGATAACTAGTTGATGGAAAATTAATTACCAAGCTGTTTTTGAATTTTAATAAGTAGTTGCTGAAATTCAACAACTAATTGGTGAATTTCACTAACTAGTTGTTGAATTTCAACAACTAGTTAGTGAATTTCAATAACTAGTTGATGAAAAATGAATTACCAAGCGAAGGATTTTTTACGAAGTAATTGGTGAATTTTAATAACTAGTTGTTGAATTTCAATAACTAGTTGATGAAAAATGAATTACCGAGTTGTTTTTGAATTTGATCAAATAGTTGTGGAAATTCACGAAGTAATTGGTGAATTTCATCAAATAGTTGCTGAATGTCAACAACTAGTTGGTGAATTTCAATAACTAGTTGATGAAAAATGAATTACCAAGCTGTTTTTGAATTTTAACAAATAGTTGTGGAAATTCACGAAGTAATTGGTGAATTTCATCAACTAGTTGTTGAAATTGAACCACTAAACTGAAATGATCTTCTAGGTAAGACATTGATCGATTATCAAGATACAAATAATTCTGGGATTGTTTCCAAATTTATATGTGCCCACACCATCTGCTCTGGTAGGCAAACTAGATTAAATTTATTAAATTAGAGGTTCAAGCTGATTACTTTGTATAGATAACCACTGTTAAAAATTTTCGACTGAAACTTTCCGAGATTCATCAGTAAAATTGACGAAAGTTTATCGAAAATTTAACACCGATTGTCGAACGAAATTGGAAAAAAACTTTTCTTGAATTTTAACTAGTTGGTTGTTAAATTTCATCAACTAGTTGTTGAAATTCACCAAACAATTTTCTCCGTGCACGAATTAAATTT